AAAAAAAAAAACGAAAATAGTTCCTCCAAAAATTACTCCATTTACGTTTGGCGACGAGCCCATGAATCAAGATGAACCCGTATCGATCACTTGCACCGTTTTGGGTGACCTTCCAATCAATATCATCTGGCTCCTGAATCGTGTGCCAATCGAACCAAATCAGGATATTTTAATAGAGAAACGTGGTAAACGTATTAGTGCTTTAACGATCGACGCTTTAAAAGCTGAAATGAGGGGAAATTTCACTTGTTTGGTCGACAATGCCGCCGGTTCAGTTGAATTTACTTCGGAGCTTAAAGTTAATGGTTAGAAGAATAATCGATTGAATTATTCACTGATTGTAATCTGTTGATGTTCTTGGTACTTATTAGATATTATTCTTTTCTGTTTTCATCCATCCTCTCATCCCTACAAGAAATTACGAATTGATCATTTTATGAATCTGAAGAAATTTTAAACGATTTTTGTTGAATATTTCGAATATTAAAACGGCAAATATTTGGATTTGAATTTGAATGTAGTACCGCCGAAAATCATTCCGTTTTCATTCAGTGATGAAGCGCTAAATTACGATGAAACTGTATCGGCGACGTGCACCGTATCAGGAGGGGACCTGCCCATAAATTTTATTTGGCTCCTAAATCGTGTTCCAATCGAACCGCAACAAGAAATTTTAATGGAAAAACGAGGCAAACGCATAAGCGTACTAATGATTGACGCTCTAAAAGCCGATCATATGGGCAACTACACTTGTTTGGCCGGGAATTCCGCCGGTTCAGTTGAATATACCTCTGAATTGATTGTCAATGGTTAGAACGATCAAATGAATTGAATCGAACGATTGAATTTTTCTTTTGTATATACTAAATATTGTTTTTACAAATCCATAAATTTCCCATCCCAGTGAACAATTATTCTTTTTGCCATCCTATATCTTATCTTTAAACGGTCTATTCTGATTTTTTATCTGCAATGTGCAGTAACACCAAAAATAGCACCATTCGATTTTGGCAATGAACCATCAAATTCTGGCGATTCTGCTAGTGTCTCATGTTTAGTTACTTCAGGTATATACTAATCGTGCATTTATGATCAATATTGTACAATTTTGAACATTTATATTCAATTTTGGGCAGTTTTTAATGGAAAAATCATAAAATTATATTTATAATTGCACCAAATTGATTATCAATGTTCTCTAAGTACCGTGTTGTTGAATATGAAAAAGTATTAACAACCATACACATTTGTTACATCAGGTGACTTACCAATTGAATTCAAGTGGTTTTTCAATGGTCAATCGGTAAAACAATATTCTGGAATCACAACAGTTAAGTTGGGAAATCGAAATTCGGTGATGAATATTGATTCAGTTACTGGAAAACAAGCCGGAAATTACACTTGTGAAGCTAGCAACATTGCAACAACAGTCAATTTCACTGCTGAATTAGTTGTCAATGGTATATGGTTTATGAATAGGGCTTCAAAAATTTGGTCATATTATTGTTTATTGTAATTTGGCTCATGTGATTTTATTTGCATTTACCTGTTTTTCTCCCCCCCCTCATGATTATTCCCTTTTGTGGATTATATCTGTGTCTGTATAGGAAATATTGGTCATTATTAAAGCGAATTTTGTGAGTTAAGAAAAAAATGTGCAAAAATTCATATATACCATATCAGTTCATGAAACAAACAAAGAAAAAAAACTGTATTATTTTGTTTTCTTATAAAAAACGTCAGTTATGCCGGTCATAGTTCCATTTTCATTGGGCGATAAGCCAGCCCATATGGATCAATTTCTTTCATTGAGCTGCGCCATTTCCGACGGTGATCTTCCATTGAATATCTTCTGGACATTTAATAATCAACCCATAACCCCTGATATGGATGTAAATGTGTCAAAATTGGGAAAACGCAGCAGTGTCCTTACTATCGATAGTGTTAGCGGCCATCATATCGGCAACTACACTTGCTTTTGCTCGAATAATGCAGGCAGCGCAAACTACACAACAGAACTTAAAGTGATCGGTGTGTTTCGTACACTGCCTTTTTTATACAATTATTCTCTATCATTCGATATAGTTATATATATAATAAGTGTGGTTTCAATTATTAATTTAAATCGATCATTCCAAATTTCCACACGCTGCCACTTTGGTATTATATTGTTATGGAAAAAAAGCTTTGACGAGTGGTTTGTTGTTCTTTTGAAATGGTCAATATGAAAACTGAATGAAGCGAGAATGCAACGTAATCAACGATTGGAAACGCTGCAATTCAGTGTTTAATTGAGTAGGGCGGCGCCACCACGCGTCTATACATACAAATGTCCATTTAAATCAGCGCCATCTACGCTAAAACATACTTTTGGTTGAAAATAAAACGCCATCATATTCCGACATTGAACGTAATAAATCAAATATTGAAAAATTCATTAACGATTTGAATATTTCAGTGCTGCCGAAAATAACCCCATTCACACCGGGTTCAGATGCATTCTATCCGGGCGACTATTTTTCCGTGCAATGTTCGATTATGCATGGCGATGCGCCCATTTCAATTTATTGGAAATTTAATGATCACATCATTGAGGGCAATAATGAGGTGTTAATCTCAAAAATGGGCTCAAGAAGCAGCGTTCTCACAATTGAATCGATTCGCGATTATTCAGCCGGTTTCTATACATGCTATGGCAAAAATGCGGCCGGAATGGCAAATCATACGGTGGCACTTGTTGTCAATGGTTCGAAACTTATTCAACTTTTTTTAAATTTTGTTTTGTTTTTCAATTCTGGTGTTATCTATTTTTTCTCCTTTTGTTTTAAAACTTTTCTCAATTGCTTTTTTTAAGTTTATAATTTGCTATATCATTAGTTTGTTCATAATAGCTAAGTCCCAGATTTCTCCTAAATCTCTCTTGGGCGCATAGTCGACACGAAAAAGAAAAAACAAGAATCATTCAAACTTTTCTACTCATTCGCTCAGTCGAAATGCACTTATTCAAACAAACAAACAAAAAAAATAGTTTATAATTTTTGGTCGGTCAAACGTACAAATGCTTCAATCTTTCATCGTTTTATTTTCGTTCTGTTTACAGTACCGCCAAAATTATCACCATTCGCCATTTCCGATGAGCCATTGCATTTGGGCGATTATTTTCAATTGACATGCGCTGTTATACATGGTGACTTCCCGTACAATATTACATGGTACTTCAACGATGAACCGATCACTTATATTGACGGTGTAACAATACTGATGCATGGCAAACGAAGCAGTTCGTTGAATATTGATTCAGTTGCCGGCCATAATATTGGGAAATACACGTGTTTTGGCGAGAATTTAGCGGGACGTGCAAGCACAACGACAACACTTTCCATACGGGGTTTGTGCACGCGCTTCAAATGTGCCGAACAAATGTTCATCCACCGTCACAACTTTACCTCGTTTTTTTATTTAGTTCATCCTTGTTTTTGTTCCTTGTTTTGATTAGTTTCTTCTTTTTTTATTAATCATTGATAAATGTAGAAGAGTTGAATTGGTATCAGATAATGGCAGCAAATAATTGATTGAAACTTAACATCGTTTCGAATGAGTTTGGTTTCATATTTGATCTTGATTGCATCCTTTTTCTTCCATTTGACCATCAAAAGTAATTGAACTGTTGCTTACACGTGCTTTCTTTCGTCAAAACTTTCAATGTGAACGGAACGAGAAAAGTTTTTATTTGAAATTCAATTTGTCACCGTAAAAAGTAAATCCGCGCTTCCAAAAACATGTATAGTTGTTTCATCGAAAAAAGCGACGTTCTTTTTTGTTTCAATGTATTTGTCACAGTTTAAGATACATTAACTAAACTTTGCGCATCAAATCCATTGTCATAAAATATTGATCCATGAAAAAAAAAATTGGGGAAGGAAATGTTTAAATAAAATTGTGATAAAATTTCATTTTCGTAACGATTCCAATTGAATTGAAATATTATTGCTATCTTAATGTCAATGGTGCTCATTCTCTTGTTGGTGTATACTCCACAAGTAAAATTATCAGAATTGCTATGCCGAATCGGTGCTATTTTGCCTTTTTGCGTATCACGATTATCAGTCACAACTATTGTTGTATTTTTTTACAAAATTGATTAATTTTTCATTTCATAACATTTTATTTTAAATCAGTTTTTTTATCTAACCAACATCGAATGTCATAGATAATAATCATTGCATGTCGACAATCATGTTTTCATATACACAGCGCGCATATATGAACATTTAAATTCGTTTGAATGTCGCACATTTTAACACATACGCTGATATTATGAAAAAGTCACAACAATGACTTTAATTTTGTTCAATACAATTCACACATTGAATGCATTTTGATAGATTTACATCGATACAGTTGCTTGCCGACTCAAGTGATCAAAGCCATTTCGAATTAGACAAATCCATAACAATCGTAACGCTACACACGCTCACACCAAACAGATCGTCCAGATTACCATCCATTCAACTCTCACACGTTTCCCAAATCCCATCCCTTTTCAATTCCTATTCTATATCCTTCTTTTTTTTTGTTATTACTAATTTTTTGACTTTGGTTGAGTTTTTAATTTTCTTTTTGTTTGCATGCTTATTCAGATTTCATCGAACATCAGAAGCATAAAGGATCAAAATAAAGCGTGTTTCTTATGCTCGATGTTGATGTGACTTTTCACTTTTTTTTTTTCGTATTTTACATATTTTTGATTTCTCCAAATCTTTTAACATTTTTAGTTTGCTGTTTTGTTGCGCTTATGATTTTTGTAGTGGTGCATGGTGTTTGTATAAGTAAAAGAAAATAATTTGGACCACAGTTGTAATCAACAACACAATTTTATTGACAATTAAATGAATGCACTCCAAATTATTCACTTTTATGGAAAAAATAACGGACTCTTTGAGATATTGTGAAAAAAAATCGGATTGAATTTGATGAACTAGCTCAATTTATTGCTATATTAAAATTGATTTAAATTGAAAAAAAAAAACGTTTTTACAGTATCTCAATACATAAACGAAACAGAATTTGATTTGAACATTCATTCGTAACGAAATGAATGAATGAAAAATTAATTTCTGATTCGTTGTTTTATTATTGGATTTTTAATTGAAATCGAATATATTCATTTGGACATTTTCAAAGCGAATTTTGCGTCGCGTTTTTGCAATTTTCACACGGTTTATTTGTTGTAATACAACAAATAAACTATTAATAAAAAAATTTATGTTGCAGTATTATTTGGAGAAAAATAAGAGCTACTCTTTCGCCGCAACGATTCATATTTACAAATGAAAAATTCAAATGAAATAAAACAAGTCCGCTTTAGAAATATATAATAAATGTTTAATTTGCTCGAGAATATTGAATACGATGACTAATTCATGTTTATAATATTGTACAGTGCCACCAAGATGGATTTTGGAACCAACCGACAAAGCATTTGCTCAAGGATCAAACGCCAAAGTTGAATGTAAATCCGATGGATTCCCAAAGCCACAGATTGTTTGGAAGAAGGCTGTTGGTATGTCTTGCAAAGAAGAAAAAAAAATAAAAATTATGCTATTTATAATCTGGTTTTTTTACAGGTGATACCCCTGGCGAGTACAAGGACATGAAGCAAAACGACAACATTCGTGTGGATGAAGGCACATTGTACATCGATAATATTCAAAAAAATAACGAAGGTTACTATTTATGTGAGGCAATTAACGGGATTGGATCTGGTTTGAGTGCGGTTATTTTGATCAGTGTACAAGCACCACCGGAATTTGCTGAAAAATTACGTAATCAAACTGCACGTCGTGGTGAACCGGCTGTTTTGCAATGCGAAGCCAAAGGCGAAAAACCAATTGGCATACTATGGAATATGAATAATATGCGATTGGATCCGAAAACTGATAATCGATACACAATTCGTGAAGAGATTTTAGCAACGGGTGTCATGTCATCATTGTCAATCAAACGAACTGAACGCACCGACTCAGCTTTATTCACCTGTGTTGCAACAAATGCCTTTGGTAGCGATGATGCCAGTATAAATATGATTATTCAAGAGGTACCCGAAATGCCATACGCACTCAAAGTATTGGATAAATCCGGTCGAACGGTACAATTAAGCTGGGCAAAACCATACGATGGCAATTCACCGCTCAAACGATATATCATTGAATTTAAAACATCCCGCGGTTCATGGGAGCATGATGTTGATCGTGTTATTGTTCCGGGTCACACAAACGAAGCTCAAGTACAACAATTGAGTCCGGCTACCACATATAATTTCCGTATTGTTGCTGAAAATGAAATTGGTGTGTCTGATTCATCGGAAGTGGTTCCAATCATTACAGCAGAAGAGGCACCATCCGGCAAACCGCAAAATATCAAAGTTGAACCAACATCACAAACGACGTTGCGCGTTACATGGAAAGCACCGGCCCGATCTGATTGGAATGGTGAAATTTTGGGATACTATGTTGGTTATAAATTGTCCAGTTCAAATGGATCATACTACTTCGAAGAAGTGAAATATTCAATGGAAGAAGGCAAAGAATACAGTTTGGAATTGACAAATCTTAAAACGTACACACAATATTCGGTCATCATTCAGGCATACAATAAAGTTGGTGCGGGTCCAATGAGCGATGAAGAAAAGCAATACACAGCCGAAGGTACGCCAGATCAACCGCCAAGTGATACAATGTGCACAACACTTACCTCACAAACAATTCGTGTGTCATGGGTCAGTCCACCGCTTGAGTCAGCCAATGGTGTTATCAAAGGTTATAAAGTGGTTTATGCACCAAGTGAACTGTGGTACGATGATAAAAATAAAAGCTATAAGAAAACCGCATCGAGCGACACCGTTTTGCATGGCCTTAAGAAATACACAAACTATACAATGCAAGTGTTGGCCACAACAACTGGCGGTGATGGTGTACGAAGCGCTCCCATCCATTGTCAAACCGAACAAGATGGTAAATACATATATGAAATAATAATTTAATGAATTTATACATAATTTGTACTTTTTCAAAATCTCAAAATAGTTCCGGAGTCACCGACGGCTGTAAAAGCTTTGGTATATGGTGCACAAGCAATTTTAGTGTCATGGCGTCCACCATCACAACCAAACGGTATCATTTCACAGTATATGGTTTATTCTCGCGAAGAAGGAAGCGAAGCTGAGCCAAAGAAAGAAAAAGTGCCATCATATCAAATGAGCTTTGAAGCATCCGGTTTGGAAATAAATAAACCATACGAATTCTGGGTGACGGCAAGCACAAACATTGGCGAGGGACAACAATCGAAGAGTGTTATTGCCATTCCCAGTGACAAAGTACCAGCCAAAATTGCATCATTCGATGACACATTCACTGCTACATTCAAAGAAGACGCTAAACTACCTTGTCTCGCTGTTGGTTCACCCACACCAAACATCACTTGGAAGGTTTGTATATGGATTTAATTAGAATTTCAGTTTATTTGAATTAAAACAATTTTCATTTGGTAATTAGGTGAAAGGTGCTGATTTTGTACCAAACGAACGTATGCGAATTCTTGCACAAGGAACACTTTTCATCAAAGATGTTATTCGACAAGATGCCGGCGACTACACATGGTATGCTTTTTTACCAAAATATTTTTTAATTGAAATCTTAATACAATTTGTGCATTGCATTGTTCCATGTTTAGTGTTGCAGAAAATTCAATTGCAAAGGACTCAATTACACACAAATTAACTGTTTTAGGTAATTTATTATGACCACATTGTCAAATTTTACCACAATTGACTGTGAAATATTAACAACTTATTAAATTCTTCTCTCTTTTTTATGTAGCACCACCACAATCGCCACAGGTAACTCTCACCGCAACAACAACCGATTCACTCACATTGAAATTGAAACCACACGAAATGGACTCGGCGCCTATTCATGGCTATACATTGCATTACAAACCTGAATTCGGTGACTGGGAAACGGTCGAAGTGGCGGTCGATGCACAAAAATATACAATTGAAAATCTCTTTTGTGGATCACGTTATCAAGTCTATGCTACCGGATACAATAGGTTGGATAATAGTTTTTTTCTTAACTCAACTTTTAATTGTAAATCATGGTTTTTCTTTCAGCATTGGTGCAGGTGAAGCGTCTGACATTTTGAATACTCGAACAAAGGGATCAAAACCAATTATGCCAGAGAATTCAAAATTCATTGAACCATCATCAAACTCGGTTACATTGCATCTACCAACGTGGAAAGATGGCAGCTGTCGAATGTCACATTTCGTTGTTGAACACAAGAAAAAGTAAAAGCAAAAATCGTCAACTGCGTTTGCTGCGATGCTGTCAAGTGATCAATATAATAATATTTATTTGAATTTTCATTTTACAGAGATCACATTGAATGGAATCAAATATCGAATAATGTGAAACCAGGTGGAAATTTTGTGGTATTGGATTTGGAACCAGCGACATGGTACAACGTTCGAATAACAGCTCACAATAGCGCCGGTTTCACAGTAGCTGAGTATGAATTTGCCACATTGACCGTGACTGGAGGTATTTGCTTTCTGTTCAAAATTTGTTGTTGTTGCTTTTGGAGCAATGCGTCGGAAACAGCTGAATGAAAATCATTCTTTATAAAATCCGAATCGACATTCGTGCGAATGAATCGAATCGAAATCGTTGCCTGTTTCTTATGCATTTTTCCGCAATAAAATTGCTCATGGCAAAACGTATGCAGAACATAAATAAATATGAATTGGTACCACGTTTCCTTTCAAAGAAAAAAAAATCAAACAGAAAAACTGTAGAAATCGCTGTTTAAACTGCATTCGTATTAGTGAGTGAGAAATTGAATATCAGCTTGATGAAATTTTGATTGAGCTCGCAGGAATGCGAATGCGAACTAGATGGTCTTCAGCGTATTGTAATACATAAATTATATTGTCGTTTGGGGACCACTCTTTTCTCTTTCTCTCTCATTGTAGAAATGTATTTATTTATTATATCCTGAGTAATTTATTAATAGAAACTGTGTGCTAAGGCACAGCTTCACCAAAAAAAAAATCATTTTTATTTGTTTGATTTGATTTTTCGTTATGTAAATATTTTGCTGTTATTTATCAACCGGTTCAATTTTTCTGTTCCATTAATTTCAGTTGATTCATTCTGTAGCTTGACACATGTGTTCTTAATTTTTCATTTTTGTCCTTGTTTTGCGAACCGGTTGACTATTATTAAAATCTAATTTGCCTATTTAGCAGCAATTTCTATTATTTTGAAGAACCCAAATTGGTTTCAATCCCTCTCATAAAACGTTTCCTCAGTCAGGTATCGAGAATTATAACCCCCGAATCACCCACACATATACAGTAGAATACACCATACACACATATACAAAACATTTCAACACACAATCCATATTTTTAAAAAATTATTTTTCCGTTTGTTATTTTAACTTGACGCTTTCTGTCAGTTCAACTGCCTTTTAGATCAATATTTTGTCTTAATTTTGAATTATGCCAACCCCAAATATTTATCACTATCATATAATCCATTAACTTGCAACTTATAAACTTTTGTTTTTATGAGCAAATCGAGTTGAATCACATACACATTATTATTGTCATCATTCGAATTCAACAAAATCAAATAAATTCAATTTCAATAACACTAAAACCAAACAATCGTAGATCAATGGCACCCTTTCCACACACAAAATAGTCCGTAGTTTTTCGTTTAAAGTTAATGCTAGACTCGTCAAGTCCACAAAATTTTAAATTTGAAAAAAAAAAAATATTTATAAAGAAATTCAAAGCCCCCACCCACACACACACACACACACACACATACAGCCGTTAGATAGTGTATCTTCCATTCACCACATAATTTTGCAAATTCGCAAAACATGTATAAATAAATGTCTGTCGATATTCATAAGAAATGTGTATGTCATTCAACAGTTTAAATAAGAAATTTTTCATTTTAAATTTGAAATTTCTCCAAAAAAAAAGTATTCAGTTGAATTAACTCTTGTATTTATGTTTATACAAAAAAAAAAAAAACAAAAAAAAAATGTTTTAAACTAAATGAATGTAAAAGCGTTTAATTTAAGAGGGAGCTAAATTTGATATCACACTCAGACAGTGATTCTGAGTCCCTGAAACAACCTACAATTGCTATCTGACAATGAATCAATAAGCTCAAATATTTTTTCTGATTAATTTTTCAGTTAAATCGGATAATTGATATTTAATTTTTTTAATTATTTTTCTTCTTTTTTTCTTTTTCAATCTCAAATCGGCTCCATTTAACTAAAAATCATTTTTATTTAAACATAAGCATAAAATCGACAAAATGAAGGCAATCAAGTAAAAAAAATAATCAATAATCTTTTCTTCAATTTTAATTGTTTCGCAAAATGGCTGAAACATATTTATTTTCTTTACAATGAATATTACTTTATCTTGTGTTTCTCTAAACATACAATCATCATTCATATCATAATGCATATTCCCTTTCATTCGATAATATTTTTTTACTTTTTTTTTAATTCATCCAATGACAACGTTGTTTGCGTTTTTTACTTGAATTTTTCAGTTTCAATGTCATGTCATCGTATATTTATTAATTTTTGCATTTTCGTTTTATTTCTTCGGTTTAAAAAAAAAACTCTTCAACGAAAAACACAAACTACACCTCTTTTCAACTAATCCCATTTCATTTGAAAAAAAAAAATGACAAAAACTTCCAAGTTAAAATTTATTAATTAATTTTTGGCATTTGTTTGGTCCTTGTTCCCTTTCTTATAATGCAATTTTGCAACACATTTTTATAGAATACTCCAATTTTAATTTCGATTTTCACATTTGATTTATTCTAATACAATAGAAATATACATATAGATATTTTTTCCGGCTATATTTGAAAAATTTAACAAAATGAATCAACAACTTTTAACTATTTTCTGTCTGTCTCATTGACCTATGAATTGATTTATTCCCGTGCTCGTCTATCTCTCTCTTCCTCTATACTATCTTCTTTCTTTCGTTTTGTTAATTTCGCATTGATAGTAAAATTCTAAGTTTTTTTACATACGAAATTAAAAATCAAATAAAAATGATTAATTTTTCATGATATTTACAAAAAAAACAAAGATTCCGAATTTTAAATTGAAGAGAAATGGCAGATTATTTGTTATGATTTTTATTTTTTGAAACTAAAGAAAAAACCTAATTCAATTGAAAATGAAATTAAACAAAAAAAATGGCTTTTTGGTTCGTTCTTTGTAAATTGTGGTTGTTACAGGGACGATTGCACCCTCACGCGATATTCCTGATCTCACTGCTGAGGAAACCATACGCATCATTCTGTCGAATATGAATCTCGTGGTACCAGTTATATGCGCCATCGTAGTAATTATTATTGCGATTGTTGTTATCTGTATACTGCGTAGCAAGGGCAATCATCACAAAGGTACTTTCAAACAATCATTTTTACTAACTATCGTCGTGTTTTTTTCTCTCTTTCTCTCTCTTTCTTCCTATGTGTATAATTTTTTTTTAATATATCTATATGTTTGTTATGTTATGATTTTTGTTTAATAATCAAAACAATGAACAAAATCATAAAATGTCTGCGTTATCTGTGCCATTTATTTAAAAACACAAAAACGTTTGTCTGTTTGAATTAAAATCGCCGCCGGTTCAAATAATATTTGTTTCGAATTATCGTTGAATCTATTGTGTGTGTGCGCAAAAAAAAAACACAAATAGGTACACTGGCACCACCATTAAATAGTATTCATCGTTTTGACAGCAATGGTCATCCGATTTATTTGCCGCCATGGATGAGCGACTGGCTTAATCTCAACGTTATGGTTCCAATGATTGCAATGATCGTCATTGTTGTTGGCATACTTGTTATTTGTATTGCACTCACTCGACGGCGTGTCGACATGCGAAATGGACCAAAGGATGTTTACTGTAGGTTGAACTCATCAAACAAGATCAACTCCCATCCAAAATACACATTCAATAAGTTTTTGAATGCAACGAATCGATTCTTTTCCACCACCGAAAGCGATTTAACGAATTCGAAACATTTGTTATTTACGATTAAATTGCGATTTTTCTTCGTGCACAGAGTATCGAAGACAGACAAAACGCACATACCGTTTCATTTTAAATGTTAATCAAATGAATATTCAGCGGAAATTGAAAGTGACCGATCTGTATTCAGATCTGATTATTCTTTCGGTTCAATAATATTTTTACCGTTTCTTCTTAAATATTTGATTTGTCATTGATTTATGGTTTCTTTTGTGAAACATGTTTCTTTCTTTTCACATGGAAATAATTTATTATTAATTTCTTTTTAGTGATTTTCATTCTATATCTAGAATGTTAAGTGACATGGCTGATTTTTGCAATGCAATCATAGCAACAAAATATCGTAGTTTGCATCACTTAGATGCATTTTAATCGCTTAAAATCGCACAAACGCTTAAAATATGGCTTTTGCAACAAAACAAATTGATTCAATTGAAAAATCAGCCTGGCTTTTGATTTTCCACTCGTTTCACATATCATTTAGATGAATTTGATTGCGTTTTGTATTGGTAGTGTTAATTTTCTCTCTTCCTAACTAACAAAAAAAAGAACGTTGATGATTTGAAGAATGTTTCGATAAAATGCAGAGACTGTCTTTCAAAACAAACATTAGAGCTGGAAGGGTACTGAGGAGCACAGCTCAGCGTCAGTGAGGAGAATTGCTCCATACATTGCTCTGAGAAACCGTCTCTAATAAAATGGCAATTTCCCCATTCTTTGCAATCACTTCGTGCTCAGTTTTTTCTTTCGTTTTTTTTTTTAATTTGGTTTTTGTCCAACTTTTTCTTCGTAGTTTGTCTGTATATTATTTCCTAATTCCATTAGAATATATTAACAATTTAAGAATTGTATATTTAAAGTAAGATGCTTTTCATTATCACCATAAAAATCACACGCTCTCACAATGACATTAATATACACTCCGGGACTTATGTACAAGAATCACATGAATTTGCGAAGACATGCCTTCGAAATCATATCACGTTTGTTGTTTGTTCTTGATATTTTTTAATTGCACGTGCCATTCCGCAAGTCATATCACAATTGGCCAACATTTTTTTGGGAAAAAGTTTAACGGACTCGATAAACCGGTGTATTGCATCATAATGCATATGAGATCTATTGATCCGTTACCTTTTCATTCACGACATTTGAAGCTTTGTTTTGATTTTCTTCACTTGTAAAAACATATATTTCAGCCACGCTCCACACAATTGTCACAGTTCACCCATCCAATGTGTCTATAATCGCTTTGGTTTTTTTGTGTGTTTTTCTTTCACAACAGTTTGAATCATTTTTAAAAAAAGAACAGAACAAATTACACCATTTTCATTTCCAATATAATTAACGAGATTTTCTATAAGCAAGCACAGTTCAGTTTTTATGTTTCTTTTTCAAAGAGATTAGTTTGGATTTTTTTTTGCACTTTTAACATACTCGTTTTTTTTGTTGCAAAATTTCATGCTTGTGAATGCGCTACAATTCGATATACATAAAGTTAAGCTTTTGCGCTAAATTTGCTGCACCGTTTTTTTTCTTCTCGCTAAACAGAGATTGACATGGTAGATATTACTGTAGTTGATGCGACGAGTTTTACGATAAACAAAAGCTTAGCTTCATAACGAATGTGCCACTTTTGGGAAAGTATTTGGAATTTCTGCTGTGTGTTTCATTTTTAAGTCGATTCGTTTATTTAAGTTTGACACACTTCTTTCGTCTAGTATTTGGTTTGATAAAAAAATAAATTGATTGTGTTTTCAACCCTTAACCGGGCAGGTCAAAATACTAACGTTATCGGGCAAGTGGGGTCTCTGAGGCCCGACGTACATTTTCCATGCAAATTTAATGAAAAAATTTGTTTTTCTTTTTTCAAATTTCATTGAATTTATACGACGAAAATTATTGTTTTAACATAATAGATATTGAATTAAATATGTTTTTTGTTAAGTATAACTGACAAAATGAAAAAAATAATCAATATTTATTCCGAATCGGATGAATTTAATTTTCAGTTCAGTAGTTGTTAAGTACAAATTTTGCACTTCATTTTTTCAAATTTTCGATTTTCATACTAAAAGTCGAAGTTGAATGAAATTTAGCAAAGCGAACACCATTTATTTAGATCTAAGTATTCGCTTTGAAAAATTTCATTGATCTTCGATTTTTAGTATAGAAATCGAAAAATTGACATTTTTGTCCCAAGTGTCACAAATTAAAATGATGAAATTTTTGGGAATCACAAATTGGTCACTAAATCTGTGTCGAAGAATTTTTATGATTACGGTTGTTTTTATGGAAAGCCTTTTCGAAATTTCGATAATAATTCTTTTTTGGGCAATTTTCACTTTTTTGTTCAAAAAATGTCCGCCAGATGTCGTATAGAAATTTTGAAAACATTTTTGTAAATCACAAATTAATCACTAAAATACTGCATCATTAGTTTTTTGAAATTTTGTTTTATTTCGAAATTTTCAAAATTTCATTTATAGACTTTTTGATGAATAGGCTGTTTCAAATTTGGGCCTGTAACTTTTTTTCTGGAGCGTCACAAATTCTAAAAATTGCGTCACAAATTTTCACTAATTAATCACTAAAATTGTGTGAAGTTTGAGCCCAATCGGGTACTTTGACCCCCTGGGTAGTGTGCGCCTTTATCAACGATTAGTAGAAGGATGAAAGAATATATTACAAAACAATTTGTTTGATTAAAATAATATTTTATGCGATTTTATGTATCTTTTTAAAAAAAATGCGCTACCGGGTCTCAGAGGCCCGACCTGCCCGGTTTAGGGTTAAATAATTTTCTTAAACTTTTGTTAGTTTAGGACTTTTGTTGTCCATTCTCTTTTGATAGTAACATAAATTTTTAGTAAATTAACTTGATAACGAAGAAGAATAAGAAAAGAAAAAGTTCAAACATAGACAATTGACAAAACAAATATACAGGCTTTGGAGAAAAACAAAGCAAAGTTCTAAACAAAACGAACAAGAAAAAAATTTCAAGAAAAAAAGAAAATTTCAAAACGGAAAAGAATCGAATTCAAACATCGACTCGATGTGAAATATAATATTATGTGACTGGTAACAAAAGCATCTTAATAACAAATCTCTTTGCTGGGACAATCAATTAATTATAGACGATGTAGTTTACAATCAGTCAATGGGACCAGGCGCCACATTAGATAAACGACGACCAGACCTACGTGATGAATTAGGTTACATTGCACCACCAAATCGAAAACTACCACCCGTTCCCGGATCCAATTACAACACATGTGATCGCATCAAACGAGGCACCGTTATTAGTAAGTATTCGATTCAATTTCAATTTTTATACATCTTCACTATTTAGGACCAATAATGCCAGGACAGAGAAAGATTTGTGCGCGCACAAAACCATCACAATTAATGGCAATCAAAACTCAACGCAACGCATTAAAAAAAATCGAAAATTGCAAATAAAAATTTAAAACTTGATTTTAGGTCCCAATGTACGTAGATAAATGTTTGCATGCGAAACATTACTTTTTGCCACAGCAATGAAATCCCTACTACCGTGCTAGATGATGTCGACACGAGTGGACGGATTTTTAAATTTATTTGAACGACGCCATGTTACTTTACTTGTCCATTACAACGTACATGTAACAGAAGAAACACACAGTCCATGTCCACGCTAGTGGACATAAACGATTTGAACCGTCAATGTGAACTAGATCAAGTATAGAACTTTACATAGGATCATATACGATGAATATGGATTACACAGTCTGTTTCAAAATACCGTCACCAATGTCGACACCATTTGACATCAAAATTTGGACAGTAAAAATATGAATCGTTGTGGCGAAAAAGTAGCTCTTATTTTTCTCCAAATAATACTGCAACATAAAGTTTTTTATGAATAGTTTATTTGTTGTATTACAACAAATAAACCGTGTGAAAAAAACTTCATGTTGCAGTATTATTTGGAGAAAAATAAGAGCTACTGTTTCGCCGCAACGATTCATATGTGTTATGGTTGTTGTCGTTTCATTGCTGTGCTTTTTGCTTGCTTTTCTTCATTGTATTCAATCATCCAGAACAGTTCAGTAGAACAATTTACTATTTTGGCATCGCATATTCGTTTGGAAAGAAAAAACATGCAATTTAAAATTATAAATCATTACGTACATTTGGCAAAGATAATATTATCATCAAAATTGTGTATAAGAAAAACTTGAATCATTCAAAGTGTTGTACTGAACCAAAAAACAAAACTCACTTGCATCAAACACCTCATCATTTTCTTTTACTTTTTGTCCTCATAATCAAAACATTCTTTTCTCATCTGTCAATCGCATCATTGTTGCAATTATACTTTTTCAAATCTAGATGTTATTTGTTCAGAATTTATATTTATGTGCACATGATTATTATTAGTTTTTGAATCATCATGAAAACAATCAAACCTCGAATCATATTAAATGTCCAAAACCCTTGTGAAAACAAATGTAGGCCGTAGCATGAGATCAAATCATTCGACATGGGATCCTCGACGACCATTATATGAAGAATTGAAAGCGCCACCAGTGCCACGAAGACATTATCATGGCTCTGATGACTGTTACCATGCTCATCCGCCAGGTAGACCTACTGTGTTCCGTATGTGTTCCATTTTGATTTCATTTTTATTTTTGATTTTCTTTCCGTTGACTTTATCCTTAGTTATTTTGGCTTGATTTAAATACGTTTCATGTTTACAAGATAAATAATTGGCATTTTATTTTGGTTGAATTCATTTCATATTTATTTATTATTTTGTGTACTTTTGGTCATATATTTTCATAAATGTTCATTATCGTTTATTGATTGTGTGAGTTTGTGTGCAGTTTTCATTTTCATTCGTTTGGTTTTTTTTTGTTTGTTTTTGCAATAATCAATATTTTTTGGGACACATCTTACAACAAATTATAAATCAACGATTGAATTAAACTGAATGAAATGGTTATGGTAAGAAAATATTCGATTGCAACGGTCATGTTTAAACAAATCATTTTTTGTTCGAAACGTTTTTGAGTCGAAGAAACCGGAACTAATATCATCAATAAAATTCATTCTTTTTTAAATACATTATCCATTTTCCACGTATTTGTTTTTATCAGATATATTTCAATTACACACAAAACAACTACACTAACTAACACAATTCATTCAAACCCAAAAAAAACTACATCCATTTGTCCATTTTGCTTGCTCTCTTGTTTGAGTGTGTTGTGAATTTTGCATTTGTGTTATTTTGTATTTGTAAATAAAATGGGCGCAAATGGGATTCAATCAGGTTTGAACTAACAAGCATTCACGCAAAAATACACATTATTCGAAATCGGATCGTGTACAGGAAATATTTCACCAATAAAATTGCCGATTATAATCGCTAAAAAATTAGTCTTCTTCACACACATGGATAAAGAAAAGCGAAAACATTTCCGTTCCCAACGAAAAAACCTGCACATTTTTCTAATCCTGTTTTGCTTTTGATTTTTTTTTTCTATCGCTTAAATGTTTAAATAAAAGGCATGGAAGATGAGATTTGCCCGTACGCAACATTCCATTTACTTGGCTTCCGTGAAGAAATGGATCCAACCAAAGCAATGAATTTCCAAACATTCCCGCATCAAAATGGAACACCAACAGCAGGACACACAGGTACCATGGGAACAGGCCCATCAAATGCACATATGCACTCGCGATCCGGATCGCAATCAATGGTAAGTTTAATTTCGTTTTCAACTGACTATTTGCACCACATAAACACAATATTAATACGAAAATTTGATTTATCCAGAATCGATATGCCCGTAAGAATAGCCAAGGTGGTCAAAGTTCAATTTACTCACCGGCACCAGAATATGATGATCCAGCCAATTGTGCTGAAGAAGACCAATACGTAAATAACACAAACGAATAAAATATGGCGATTTAGTCACAATTTTAATTTAAACAATTTAAATATTTCCAGCGTCGATACACTCGTGTTAACTCACAAGGTGGTTCATTGTACGGTGGTGGTCCTGAATATGATGATCCAGCTAATTGCGCCCCAGAAGATGATCAATATGGATCTCAATATGGTGGAAACTATGGCGCACCCTATGATCACTATGGCTCGCGTGGTTCAGTCGGCCGTCGTAGCGTCGGTTAGTAGTCGAAATCATTTCATTGAATTAAATGCCAAATTATAAGCAAAAAACAATTCTTTATTCAATTAGGTTCCACTCGAAATCTGCCGATGAATGGTTCACCCGAACCACCAGCACCACCACCACGTAATCATCTTAACGATTCTAAAGAAAGTAATGAAATCTCCGAAGCGGAATGTGATCGCGATCATCCACGCGGTAACTATGGAGGTAAGATCACTTTTGTTCGATAAAATCAATCATTTATTGCATAAAATACACTTCTCTATTTGGGTATTTTGCTAACAAACTCTCTCTCTCTCTCTCTTTCACTCTCTGTGTTTAAATCGATATGATTTGATGAGATTTTCAACAAATCATGCATTTTTCTCACGCGCTATTTCTGTCTCGATATATTTCTTTCACAATTCAATTAATTAATGTAAAATTCTTTTATTTCTTCTTTTTTTTCATTGAATTTTCCAAACGATTTAATCGCAAAATGACGAAATTTCGATTAAATTTAAACAAATACCAAAACAAAAAACACACAAATTGTATTGCAATTGGCAATAACGCAAAATTAGAAAAAGAGAATCCCGATGGTGAGTCAGTCAATAGAACCGAATAATTAGATTAATCCAATTTGTTGAGTGGAATGCATTTGAACGTCATTAGTGACGGGAATTTGATTAGTGAATGATGAGTTCTTTTTGTGGTTTGAAATAGCGCCTGTTTTTTTTGGGATTGGACACATTCCAGCTGCTCCTTTCCGCCATATTTCATTTCAATGTTCAAATTTTTTCCGTGTGTGTTTTTTTATCTTTGCCGTTTATTTTCGCCGACATCATTTTTTACCCTCACACTTTTTACCCCTCTGTCACCGATTTTTCTGAAGTATATTGAGTTACACTGGAGAAAAAAAGCGATGTAAATTTGTTTGTACTGACGTGTTCGTTCTTATTTCAATCGTACTTATTTCGATTTCATTTCCAAATTGTTTGTTTTTGTGTCGCTTTGCAAATAGTTTTACTGTCTATTCTCTGTATATTATCAACAATTTTGCATTTCATATCTTTATCGTAAAAAATTTTTATCATTGAAAAAAAAAAATTGTTCGTATTATTTTTCATCCAATTTTTATACATTTTGCCATTCAATTTTTTAATACCCCCACAAACATATATTGTATCTCACACATGAGATCCCGAGATTTTTAACAAATCCATTCCTCTTAAACCAAATCAAGGAAACCATTATATCGTTAGATTTTCATTATCATTGTTTCAACAATATCCATAATTCAAAATTATGTTTGGCCTTCATCGTTTTATATTTTTTGCCATATCGTTATCATCGATCTTTATTTTACACATTGCTTTGGTGTTCGTTTATTGGATTTTTGTTTTCTTCTTCATATACATTCATTTGCATTTATGTGTGGTTTTATTTTGCACAACTCCTCCTCCCCCCCAAGGTAAAAAATTCATTTTGCATGTAAGAAAAATAAATAATAATTCAAATTCCATACTTGAAATATTTGTTCCAACACTTATCATACATCAAGTCGATGTTTTCTCTTCTTAACCGTTATTTCTTTTTCTTCCGTGTAAGATTTGAGTTTTTTTACCCATATCCGAATAATACTTATATTGCAATATACAAGTGTGAGGTTTTATTTCAGCATGTGTTCAATTTTCAATGTTTATGATCGAATATATCAGGATATAACCAATCAATTGACATCTATGTTGTGTGCTTTTATGTTTAACTTTTTGTGTTTGGTTTGGTTTAAATAAATTTTCAAATACTACTAGTTTTTCTTCTCTAAATTAAAACAAAACACAAAATTAAGACAAAACATATATTTTGAAAAATATTTATGATATGCATGACTCGGTCGAAGAATTATATAAATACTCATAGAAACGCCGGACAATAAATATGATTGGAACGTAGTACTTGTCATGTATTGTGAGTACGACCCGCTCCATAAAAAAACAGAGTCGTATATGTTGTCGTCTCGCATTTCAATGAGTTCGTTCGGACCGTTTTTGGCGGTATGGTTCTATTGCACAAAGATTTTTTTTATATCTACAAACATATCGTTCTAACCTTGCATTTATGTGTCACATCAAACGGAACAGAACTATCTTTAAATGTTAAAATTTACCATTACGTGACCATGTAAAGAATGAATGGTATACTTTGTGAGTTGCTTTAAAATTCAACCGTCTTTATCCTCCCAGTTAATACTCGCTCTAAATATATTCAAACAAAAAGCTTGCCGCTTGATGACTATGCTCAATACTGCTTTAGACGTTCGTTATTCAAGCTGAATCCTTATCACATTTTTCATTTTATTATTTTTGTTTATGTTATAATTTGTATGTAAAATTAAAATTAAGTAAATCCAAAAAAAACCAACAAACTTATTTTTACACAGCCAAAAGGTCGCCAAATGCAAAAGATGGTCGCACTCCCGAAGAAATTCGTAAATTAATTGACAGGTAATGATTCGCTTCACACACACACAAATACATACACTCAAATTAGATTCAGAACCAAATCTGACAACCAACAAAATAGAAAAAAAAAACATTTCACACAATTTCCATACAAAAAAAGTCTCATTGAATGCTAAAACACAACCAGTTGGTTAACGCATCTAGATTAACAAAATTAATTTTGTTGTTGATTACATTTTATTGCTGTTCGTAGACATTTTCCGAACTTTTTTGAAAAAGTATCGTTTATTTTTGTGAAAATCCTTCCTTTATTGTTGAAAGCTGCGTTCATTAAAAATGCCATTTCATCAACACATATCAACAAAACACATATCAACAAAACGCATACAAACAATCAATTCACACCATTTCACAAACATTCATTTGCCGATTTTTGTTTACAAAACAAATGCACAAATCATTTTTTTCTTTTGGTTTATCATTTTCCCGAATGCTAACGTATTATTTCAAATCGACCGTTTGTTTTGATTCAAATTCACAAAATATTTGGGATGATGATGTTTCATAGATAATTTCAGGTGTATTTAAATGCCGATTAGAATGTCTTAAATAGAGTAGATAAAAAAACACATCACGAAAAAAAAGAATTAAACACTTCTATGATGAATTTTATGCAAAGTTCAAACAAGTTTTATCGGTTGTTTTAACATTCAGCTTTCCTTGCCGCAAGCATGAAGTCATGTTTTGAAAGATCCCTAGCAAATTCTCTATTTTTAGAGAAATGGAACCGGTTCGTTTTTTTTCTCGCTTTCTTTTTATTCGACGAACCAACACATTTTCTTGATAAGCAGCAATTTCTCGTTTAACAGTTTTTAAAGTAAAAACTCCCAAGACAACAACAATTTAAAGCTGTATTAACTTTAACATAAAATTATATATAAAATACTCAAGGGTTTGGGATAACACCAGTGCTAATAACATTAGGTCGTAAGTGGATAAATGCATGGAGAATAAGAAATCCTAGTGGAGAAAAAAATAGGAACATGGTTGTTTTTTTTTCTCTCTCTCTCTCTCTCTTGCTCATTCTTTGCGAATAACATCGTACATAACATATATTATTATCATTGAGCCATTGACATCATGCATCATCACAGACTAATGCTTAACTTGCATGCGCTTGTATACATCACTCATATTTGCTTTGGTAGTGTTTTTCATGTAGAATTTGCATAAATTTAGTATTAAGTGCTTTTTAACAACATTGTTTTTCAAAAAAAAAATGCAATTTTGGACACCATTTTTCCACCCCTATTACATTATTAGATTCCCGTAAAAACTATGTGATTTGTTCGCCATCATTATTTTGGTGGAATTTCACACATTTCCTCATTAGAAATGAAAGTGTATTTCAGAAGAACTTATTTTTATGATAGATTTCGAAATTCTTTTAACAAAAGTTCTTTGCGATCTTAAAAATAAGTTTTGCCAAGAAATGCGCTTAAATTCTATGACATTTTCCCATCATCCATTTTAGTCCATAATTATTTTTTAATTTCTCGCCCATTTTACCTGAGAATCGTTAAACAAATTCGGAAATTCATGTACCAATGTGTTTTGTCTCCTTTTTTTTGCAATTCATTGAATCAATGAAACGTTTTTATTGTCAATGGAACGAAAAATTTTTTTAGAAACGAAATCCCAGCAACAAAATTCCAACAACAAGGCGGCTGCACAGGACTCACAGCCTACGATACTATGGCAGTATAATTTGTAAATTTGTTACAAATGAACTTCGAAACGAAGCAAACAATCCAACACGATCAAAATAACCAAAAACCAGTGAGAAAACGACGTAATCAACAGACACAAATTCACTCACACTTACACATACACACACATACTAAACTATATAACGTAACTCTCAAGCAATAGAGAATGCATCACCTTTTCTTTTCGAAAACGTTTCAACTATACAGAAAATCAAATTTTACCAAAAAAAAAAAAATCAACGGATGGAAATCACATTTAAATGACTTCAATAACAGTACCAATAAATGCCGCGTGGGCGACACACACGTTAGTTGAATACGCATCTACAAGTAAAACCAATTAAAAAGGGAGTCAATAAATCGAATGTGAAGATGGTTTAAGTAACAAATTTAAAAACAAATAATGAATCAAACAAACAAACAAAAAATGTCTATTAGTGTGATGTAGTAGATCAGAAAGTTTACGCATACGAACGATATATAGCAAACAACATACAACTAGAATGTGAAAAATGAAAGAATGAGAGTTGATGAACAATGAGATGAAGAAAAGAAAAATTATTATGATTATTATTATATTACGATTATTATTATTATTGCTATTAATTACATTAATTGTGCCCCCGATAATCGATAGAAACTAATACAAGCAAATGGTAAAAAAATAGGGAACGAATATTTACCGTCATTTAAAAGCAAGCAAAAAACAAAAATACGGGAAAAACAAAAGTGAAACTATATAAAGTATGACTATTAATTAACAACTTATATCTAATCTTATATCGGAGCCCGATCATGGTATAGGATTTCCTATATAAAACTTGTAACTAACAACACCTCTAATGCGTATTCCGAGTACTAATTGACGTTTGTG